AAGAGACTTTACATGGTATAAAATTAGCGTCGGGTAGCCCTTCTATTCATCACCTGCTTTTTGCAGATGATAGTTTGTTATTGTGTGAAGCATCGGTCAGGGATAGTGAAGAAATTTTAAAAGGTCTCAAACTTTATGGTGATGCGTCTGGGCAAATGATTAATACATTAAAGTCATCTATCATTTTTGGGAAAAAAATTGATGCGGATACCAAACAGGCTATTAAGGGGGTTTTGGGTATTGAGAAAGAGGGCGGCGAGGGCACATATCTGGGATTACCTGAGTGCTTTCAAGGTTAAAAAAAAGACCTTTTAAATTTTATCAAAGAAAAATTAGAAGGAAGGTTACAAGGGTGGTGTTCGAAAACGCTATCGATGGGAGCTAAGGAAGTTTTAATAAAATCAGTAGCACTAGCCCTCCCAATATATGCTATGTCCGTTTTTCGTCTACCAAAAGGTCTTTGTGAAAGAATTACGAGTGCGATTATAGAGTTTTGGTGGAGTAGTGGGGATAAGAAGCGAAAAGTTTCATGGGTTTCATGGGAAAAGCTATGTAAACCAAAAGAACAGGGAGATCTTGGGTTCAACGATATTGGGCGTTTTAATTAGGCTTTGCTAGGTAAACAAGCTTGGCGAATTTGGAACAATCCAGAATCTTTAGTTTCTCGAGTTCTAAAGGGTAAATATTTCAAAACTGGAAATTTTCTTGAGTGTGGAATGGGGACAAGCCCGTCATATGCATGGAGGAGTATCATGCACGGTAGAGAATTGCTCAAAAAGGGGTTGTATCGTCATATTGGAAATGAGGCTGATACAAATGTTTGGGCGGAAAATTGGATTATCGACACAATTCCACGGCCTCCAATGTACCGTGAGAACAGCTCCATAAACTTAGCACTTAAAGTATCGGAATTGTTTGTTCAGGGGTCAAATCAATGAAATATCAACTTGTTACATCAAACTTTTACACCACAAGATGTTCAAAGGATTCTTCTTCTTAAGCCATCAATGGTAAATGATGATTCTATTAGATGGGACTTCACAACGAATGGTTGTTATTCCACTCGTAGTGGGTACAAGTTGCTAGAGGCGTTGGTGGATTTTGACCAACCTCAAGGACACACACTCACTCCGGTTGAACGGCAACTGTGGAGAGATATGTGGAAAACTAAAGCTCCTCCAAAAATAAAACATTTTATGTGGCGGGCATTATCTGGTGCTTTAGCAGTTAAGCAACTCTTGACTACTCGGGGGATTCAGATTGATCCAACTTGTTCTGTTTGTGGTAATGGTCCGGAAAGTATCTGTCATGTTCTCTTTACATGTGATAAAGCACGAGAAACATGGGAGCTTTCTACTTTTCCAATACCATTAGGAGGTTTTTCTCGGAATTCAACTTTTTTAAATTTTGTGCACTTAATCAAGATTCACAAGAGCCCCTCTACGGATATTCATACAAGGAATGTTTTCCCATGGTTGTTATGGGAAATTTAGAAAGCTAGAAACGCTTTCGTCTTTGAGTCTAGGAGGATAGAGGCATCCTTCATTACTAGTAAAGCTTATGAGGAAGAATCCACATGGTTTGATACTTTCACTGCTAGGAAGGATGGAGGTGATCAGGTCGTCTCAGAAATCATTAAATGGAAAAAACCACCTATTGGTTTCCTCAAATGTAATGTTGGATCTTCGTGGGTGCATTCAAGCCATACTGCGGGTGCTTCTTGGATCCTTCGGGATGAAAAAGGGTCCACAATCTTACATAGCCGTTGTGTTTACTCATGTATGCGCTCCAAGACAGAAGCAGATTTGTGGGCTCTCTTTTGGGCAGTCGATTGTTTGCATACTCTACATTTCTCGAATATTATTTTTGAGACTGCCTCTGCAACCCTTCATGATGCTCTTACCACGACGAATTATCTTAGCCTCAGCCATATTCGTCACAGCATTTTCTTCCTCCTTGCAAGGATTGATTCATGGAGCTTGGATCATGCCCTTCCCGAACGAAATGAAGCGGCAGCGGCAACTGCTTTGAGCGTCACGCGCGACCTTCGTCATCAATCCTACATCGCCCGTAACGCTCCGGTGTGGCTTCATCATCTACTTGCGTTGGAGGCTCGGCAATGAGGTTTGTCCCAACCGGAATCGCCAATCCCAATCATATGACGCCCGAGATGCACCGGCTTGGCTACATCATTTACTCATTATGGAAACTCGACAATAATGGGAATGAGTGAGATTTACTTTCTTTCTCCTTGTTCGTGTGGTGTCTATTGACATCCTATTTTATTTCTTATCTTTACATTGTATCCCAAAGATTATTTCTACATGTTAAAGTGTTATAAAAAAAAAATTAACTCCAATCTCTTAATTGAAATTCTTAGCTTTGGATAAAAGACGGTTCTTACATTTTTTTTATATATTTTAACTAAGAAAAGCTAAAAATCTATTCTATTAAAATAGAGACATTCTTTTTATCTACTGATACAAGTTGTCATTTAAATTTGGACCATTTTTAGAGTGTTACAAATAATACAAGTTATATAGTTGATTGAACCGCATTACTTAAATTAAACCGGCGGTTATTTATACAATAGAGTTTTGGGCTTACTTTTGTTTTTATGACATTTAATTTTTTGGTTTTTGGGCTTAGTATTAAAGAAAAATTCAAAAAAAACATTGAATAAACTTTCCACATTAATGGATCAAAAATCAATTACTATTTTCAGGCCCAAAAATATTTAATATTTTCAACAAAACAAAATTATCTGTTATTAATCACTTATTTAAATCATGTACTTTAAAACATGTTAATATTTTTTAGCCGGAAAATATTTAATATTTTCAACCAAACAAAATTATCTATTATTAATCACGTATTTAAATCATGTACTTTAAAACATGTTAGTATTTTTTATTTTAAATAACAATCACTCTATCTTGATAAATTTTAATGGTAACTTTTAAATAATTTATTGTTTTATTTTTCTTAAATAATTTACAGATTTAAAAAAAATGTAAAGCAAAACCAAAAATCAAATCTAAATACTAAAATCCAAAACCAAAAACTGAAAACGCAGGTTATATTTTTTACTTTTTTTATTTACAAAATAAACTATTTCAAAATTTTTAGGAAATTATTTTTTCATCTTTTCAGTTTTAAATTACATGTTCGATTAATTGAGATTTGTTTGTTGGTAATATCAGTTCAAACTAACTCAGTGGGTCTGGAAATTAAAAACCCAAACCAAAAGCTAAAAATTAAAAATAGAAACTTAAAAACTAAAAACCAAAAACCAAAATTTAAAACAAAATCTAAAAATAAAAACTGAAACTAAAAACTAATGAAAAACAACTATCACCACAAATTTTGGTAAACTAATTTTATACCAAAACATTCTTTAAATTAAGACAAAATCCAATTATACAAAATTTTAATCATAAAAAATTTCCGCGCATGAAAAGCGCTGGTCAAAATCTAGTTGTTTCTTAAATAAGAGATATAAAAATGGTCTCTTAGGTGAAAATGTAAAACCGTCTCTTGCCTATGTTCGGGAACAGCGTCTCTGACACAAATCTAAGGTCTCATATGATGTTTAAACTATTTGATTTGCTTTGAAGTGGTGGGCAATGGAACTCAGGAGGTGCATGTGATAGTGACACAGAACCAATCAAGAACGAGACATACCTAACACGGTAAAACCGTACCCGTCTAAAATGAAGGTGCTAGAGAGTGTGTTAAAGGGTATGAGAACCCCTGTCACGTATCTAAACATCACCAGATTAACTGACTACAGAAAAGATGGGCACCCATCACTGTACAGGAAAAAAAGCTTACCAGATAAAGAAAAGAAAACGTCGTTGCTGTACCAAGACTGCAGCCACTGGTGTCTCCCCGGAGTTCCAGACTCTTGGAACGAGATCCTCTATGCTGAGCTGCTCGTCAGACTCAATCAGCTTGGTCAAACACAAGCTCTAAAAGGTTTCTCCATCTCCAACACTACTTTAATTTACTTTATATTTGATTGTTTAAAGATGATTATACAGAATGTATAGAGTACAAAAAGATGAGATTTGTTTGCTACTATCTGTTGTAAATGCTTTTGTCTCTAAGGATACATTTTTTTTAGCTATGTTTGAATATCTAAATATATAAACATAGTTCTGCGACTGTTGTTTTTGTCTATATGACATATGTACGAGGTAGCAGAACAGTGTTCTTTGCATTTGGAACCATGGATGTGAAAAAATTGTCGGCCACCGACAGGTTTGTCCAGTTTAGGAAAAATAAAATAGGATGTGAAGACAACAACGGGTTTGGTCACGACGTATAACTTAAGGTATTGAGACTTTTTTGGCTATGAAGAAAGGTCTTTAAAGGCGTCGGTTAGTTCAAATGTTCTTATGAATTCAGTGCGACTGGATCCAACCTGGTTGACTTGTTCTCCACGTGACGTACTTCTTACACAATCAAGTATGTAATTGATTTAAGAGTTATAATATCTACATTAAAAAAAAAAAGAGTTATAACATTTACATTAAAAAAAAAGAGTTATAACATGTGACTATTTGGTTGGAGATTGGGAAGAGGAAGACATGTGTTTATGTTGTTGTAGAAAGTAAGATTAGTAGATTAGGGATGCTTAAATTGAACAAAACTCCCGATGATTTACAAGGTTTGGATGCTCAGCCAACTGGAACAGTGACTAGTTCAAGGTTTCCTTATATAAAACTGCCAATAAATCCACCATTAACCACAACATGAAATCAAATTGGCAGAGGCAGAACAACCAGCTTCTCAGCTTTCCAATAGAGTCTGTACCAGTAGCAGCACACAATCCGGGTAATGATTTGATCTCTTCCAAAAAGAGAAGGAAGAACAAGAGACTACAAGCTGAGAACAAGTAAAGTTGTACTACTCCACTTATTTTCTTGAGATGGTCTAATAGTTGTGCATACAAAAGTGAAGGAGTTACCTACAGTTTTGTAACTAAAATCAACATTGTTGGTACAAAAATCGAATCCTCTATAAAAAGTTACAATTCCACAACATCAGTGTTCTATCCTTTTCCCTTTTAACATAATAAAATATCTGTGGGAGTAAAGACAATAATAAATGGTAAAGAAGAAACAACTTTCTTTTTTGTTTAAGAGAAGAAGATACTAAACTTGGAAGGTCCAACAGTATGAGAGAAACCTTTAATGGAGAGTTCAGGAACAGTAGCTTTCTCCACCATAAGAAGCTCATTGTCTATGAATATCACAACCACCGTTATATCATCATGAAAGAATCTCCTCACTCCCCTCTCCACTTTCTTCAAATCATCATACCTCATCTCTCTCTTCTTTGCAGCTATGTTCATCGCTCTTCTCACCAACCTTCTCGCTATTCCCTGTGTGTTTTTTTTTAAAAACTGACATCAGTGAGATACTCAAAACAGAAAGTAACATTATGAATCTCTTTAAAAGGAACGTACAGGACGAGGATGTTTATTGACTATCTCTACAGCTTGTTGGTTGCTCATTTGTTCCCAGAGTCCATCCGATGCAAATATCACAAACTTATCACTTGTTTGCAAGACTCTTGTGTAGACACAAGGCTCTGCTGATAGAACCGGTCTTTGTAGCCGTTCAGGGAGATGGAACCGTGGAAATGAAGGATCAAGAGAGAACTCTGGTCGCTTCAAGTAAGCATCCCCTATTGATCTAGATACCTACACCATCCATGAAATCATAAGATCTTTAAGTCCTATAGACACAACCTAAGGATGTTGAGCCAAACCTGAATGATGCCTTTGATGCGCCACACACCGTGTTTGAGTACAACGATGTGCGAATCATCAGGATGCAATGATTTAAGCTCTTGTCTAACTTCTTCCAAAGCAGCATTGTGATCACTAGTCAACTGCTCAGCTACAATCTTGTTTGACCTCATGGTGCCAAGCACAGCACGGGAATCACCAACGTTAGCTATAAGTAAAGTCCCTTTCCAGATAACTCCGACCAGACAGCAAGATCCAACAGCTGCAATCAACGGTTTAAACTCGCAAGTCCTTCTCACAAGCGTTAGAAACCCTTCCTCAGTTGCAGAATACGCCGCCCTCAGAGCCTCCTCTGTAATTCCGCCCTGCTCTCTCGACACTCCTAAAAAAGGGGAAAAAGTTTAAATCAAGAAGCAGCCAAAAAAGGAACAAGACAAAGATTCAACAAACAAATAGAAAGAGAGAGAAAGTCAACAAGTGGCAAGCAAGTTGTACTATAAAGTCAAGATTCAGTTCCAGAAACAGAAGCTAATCAATTGATTTCAGACTAACTCATCAAGTGGGCAAAGAGATGGTCAGAGATGTATCTAGAAGCTTCAGGACCACCATGACCATCATAAACTCCAACAAAGACAGCTCCTTTCCCTGTCTCCACTTGGCTATGATCCTCAACAATCTCGTTAGCTTGCACGACAGACATGGAGAAATCACCAAAAGAATGCCTCTCAAGCTCCCTAGACCAAAGCAGGGAGTCACCTTCGTGATCATCATCGTTTTCATCATCATCATCTTTGTTCATACGACCGTACCGACGCATCGGCCGCAGACAACAGAGAGCCATCCTTGCAAACCAGGAGAACATTCCCTCATTTGCCTCCTCCCCTCACGGAGAGCCACGTGGACGGAAGAGGGGATCTCTGTGATTATGTTTTTGGGTGAAGATAGAGAAAAAAAAGTATGTGGTGGATCGAAGTTGCAGAAGACAGGTGAAGAGGAAAACGAGCAAAGACTTTCTTCTCTCTTTGGTCTATAGAGAGAGAGAGAGAGTGAGAGAGTAGTTGAAGCAAAGTGTGAATAATATGATTTGTTTTAATTTAAAGTTGTGTCTATATCTTAAAAATTAAATTATTATTTTTACTTTTATTTTCATATTTTCACGTAATGAATGCATAAAAAATCAAAATTGTTGACGTAGTTTTGGAAGTATTCCTAAGAATCTCACGTCATATCTATTTGTCCTTTGTTAATTTTGCTTTTGGACTTTTTCAATGACAATTTACAAAAATAATTGTACTATCAATGGGGACATTTTTATTTAAAATTTTCATTGTGTAGTTTATTCTGATTTTATGTTTAAAAATTGCCTGATATTTGACCAATTTTTTTTTTGTCTGATCTATAGTGATTTAATGCATATAAATGTTAGTAGTCTGAATCAGTTTATAAGCATATCCTATTAGATTAGTTCAAATTAAAACTAGTATATATGATTAAATATTGGACAAATCTCTTAAATAAATATTTTTAAGTTTTTATCACAAAATAGATCTTAAAAACTAAAATGACAAAAATAACTATATTAAAAATTTTAAGTTTTTTTTTAATTTTTTGAAATTTGAAATTCTACCCCCAGATTACAAAATTTTAAATAAAAAAATCTAGAATAAGTCATTTAATATTTTCTAATTTTTGATAAAACATTTAAGTATATTCTGGTTATTTTTATTTTTAAGGTCTATATTTGTGACAAAAACCTTTTAGATAGATATTTTTCTAAATGATCCTCATTTATCCTTTACTCCAGAATAAATTTATAAGTAAAATTGATTTGATGTAGATGTAGTATAAAATAATCTTTAAAAAAATTATATAAATATATACTATTTTGAAACATTAAATCAACAGTATATTGCATTTTATTTTGTAAATTTAATTCTGTGATGTGTTCATGTTGCTCCTTAAATGTTTCCATGATGTGTTCAACAAATTAAGAAATGATGTTCACATCAGTGAAAACACCCATCTAATACTTGCTTCTAAGTTTCAAATTTAGTTAAATGCAAGATATAATACAAAGCATCATTATAGTTGTCATAAAACGTGGTTTTAACATTTGCACCCAAAAAAAGGATATAATAATACAAACCAAATATTCAAAAAGACACAACTGTTGTCTGTAGTCAAACCACCCCAAACCAAAAGTCCAACAGTTACTTCGGAAAAAAGAAGTAAAAGGTCAACAACATCAAACCCTCGAGGTCATTCTCATGGTAGATACCAAACTACTAATCAGTCATCGACCTACGCAGCTCAGCTTCACCATGCGCAAAATGGCATCTACCTCCATATTTACACTTCCCAGCAGCAAATTTCTCACAGAGCTCGAACTTGTAGGGCTCCTGGAGCAGGATGAGCAGCATCTGATTCAAACCTCCTTATAAACCCTCTCACCATCCCGCTCGCTGCATTGATCTGATCAAATGTTCCTTCAATCTCCATATTCTTCAAGTTTGACTCTCTTTCATTATCCACTATCGATAGTTTAACCCCTGTTTCAAGGCAAATCTGTTTGGTATGGTTATTGGTTACCACCCTTTCCCAATTGTGGCACCAGTTAAAGAAGCATCCACAATGATCTTGGCTGTAACAGAAGCACCAAAGCTTGAAACACAGCCTTCTCTTGGATCTTCTCTCCCTGAGGAGTTCGCACACTACTAGAGGTTTGTGTCTTTTTTGAACTTTGAGCTATTTGTGGTTCGAGATTTGTCATCTTAGCTGCAGCTTTGTATCCGCCAGGTACATAGTGCAAGAAACGACAGTTATCACCAAGCGGACATTCATTAGTGCTACAATACAGAGCATGACGCATCAGCATGTTGCAAAGAACTTTACCCGAGAATAACACAGTTTTACGTTGCACATGCAAAGTTAATAAAATCCTTACCATCACACAGAAGAAGAGTACACACAGCTCTATGTTATGGTTGATTTTACATATTCTTTTCACCATTTAGTGTTCATTTCCAAAGATTATGTTCTTATGAGGAAATCAAATTTTGTTTTTTCCCAACTGGTTTTGATTAATGAAACTTGCAGAACATACAAGAGAGATTCTAGAACCCATAACAGGGAGACATAAACCCAAACAACGGGTGACTTAAACCCAAACAACGGGTGACACTTAGAAATTACAACGAACACTATAGACTCATATAACCAAAGCTAAAGACAGTCCTTGACAATGGATAACGATTTTAATCTTTCTACGCTTTGACCAGCCGGAACTCTTGACGAGGAAGCGATGCAGTGGCCATACCAACGAAACAAGACTAAACAAATTTTGTTATATTTGACTTTATTAAACACGTTTGCGAAACAAGGGTGCTACGGACCTGTATAACAACTATCCAATTCATTAGCACAATTATACAATGTTATTTGTTAATTTCCACATTTAGAGGGTGTTATTGGTTTATATATTTAATGAATTTAAAAATCCATATTAAATCTAGTGTTATTGGTTTTATGATTTTAAAATCTATATCTAAATATAGTGTTATTGGTTCTATAATTGTAAATAAGATTTTGAAATCATGTGTTATTCAATAACAAGGATTTGTATATGGATTTGATTTCAAATTGAATTTCCATGGATTTTAAGATCAAAATACAAAGGAGAAAATACTGAGGTAAACCTTGTTATTTTGTTAGATTTATATTGTTGTTTTCTTTAGGTCTATAATCAAAACATTTTCAGTTTATGCAAAGAACCACACCTCCTAGAACTAAATTTCATCATTAACATTAATTACATTTACTCAGTCATTTTCTTCAAGACTTTATAAAAAAAATCATTAAAAAATAGAGTAGCAAGTGTAGCATGTGAAATTAGTTTTAATCGTGTTACTCCGGAAAAAACTTTCAAAGAATCAGAGTACCAAGTTTAGCAGCTGAGTTGATACATGTGGCACCAAAAAACATACTTGAATATCCAAGCACTAGATTTGTTTACGAATAGCAAGCTACTTTAAGCTTAACGTTCTAATTCACATTCTTATCAACTCTAAATGTAACATGCTTAGACCTCTACCAATAAATCTCTTTCACATGGGAAAATGTTCTCCCGCTTGCATCTTCACAAATAGGTCACAATTCTCGTAAATCCATTAGATTGATTTATAAAAATCTACCAATTTGGTTTTAAAATCCATCAAAAATACACTTATTTGATTTGAAATCAGTATATGAATTAAAGATTTCCAAATCCAATTATATTTATAAATCTACCAAAATATCAAAACCAATAACCCCCACTTATATTAGAGAGTGATTCATAACCTGGAAACTTTTGGTCATGACTTTGGTTTGCTTATTAAACTAGTTGAAATTGATTCCATCTCTATTGCAAACGTTAGTTTTTTTTTTTCTTTTTAAACTTTTAGTTACTCATCTTCTAAAAGCTTGAACAAATCTCATGTAGAATCTGTTTTTGATGCATTTGATCTTTTATATGAAAGTATTTGGACCCTCTCTTGGGCTGAACTTGGGCCTGAGGTCACTTTAAATTTCTAATGAAGTATGTGTTACAAAATAAATAAAAAGATCTTTTATATGAAACTTGGAACAAAGCTTTTCAGGGTTTAATGAGAGTATTGAAACTGGACTCAACGCCTTGGGTTGACAAAGATCATAGATCAATATCAATCAAGCAACTCCAGCATTGTTGAGTGTTAACATAGGCGACTGGCTTATGATCCTGTTGATGATCAATTCAAAGCATTGAACCAGCTGGTGAAATCTATCTATGATCATAAGTTCATAACCCTAGTTTTCATGGTGCACGAGGTTATAACACTTGGAGGAGGAGAAGTAGTATCTCGTAGCCAAGTTACCTCCCCGCCTTATCACCCTAAAACTATGGAACGAAGCATCAATGGTTTCATGTATTATGCTGTTTGGGCTCAAGTCATGGAACAACTCATGTCTTTGTGTGTTTTGATGTTAGATATGAGAGGATACTAATTTTCATCACAACTCCTAAGGAGGTCCTGGTTTTGGAGGCTTTTACCCTGTTGATAGAATACAAAGGCGTTATGGACTCACCGGCTTTTATATAATTTGTTTTTTCTTTCTATGTAAGAGCCTGGACAAACAAACTCTGGGGATTTTTTTTTTTCTTCTCATTTTAATCAGTATTCATGCACAGCAAACTTGTTTTGTTATCTTAGTGACTGGTAATGATTTACACTTGCTGACGAGGTGATGGTTTCTTTTTTTCCTTCTTTATTTGGTTTATTCTAGTTCAATAATTTTACCGGACACAACTCTTTACTTATTTGGATATTTGCATATTGTAATATATGCACTAGATTTAATTCAACTTGTCTTGCTACTGTTTCTCTGTTCGAGTCAGTGATCCAAGCTTAATAGAGATCCCTCTAACAAGTGCACTCTGGTAGGATTTAGAATCACTTGTGTTCAGGCCATTAATTTCGTCTACACTTTTCTTCCAGTAAGAGCTTCGGAAGATTCACTACCTGATGATACGGCACCAGACATTACATGTTTATTGAATGGACCTATTTCTAGTGGAACCAAATCGACGGATACTGCATGCAAGAGAAGATGATTTGATCAGGACATTATTGCTTAAGTAACAGTTGTCTATGTTCATCATCAGAGTCAGACACCCTCAACTCTTTACGTAGCTATGTTATGATGTTTTCTTTCTCCTAACCATACAAGCATAGATATCCATTGTTAAATGATTTTTGACCTTTCAAGGCATCGGGGAAAACGAGACTTACCCTAGAGAGATTTCGCGGTTAGTCCACAAACTTGAGAGATGATTAGAGTTTGGATTAGAGACTTGAGTTTCAAGGAGATTGATGTTTGTGATAATGAACATTGAGAAGAAGACATAGAAGATGTTGATTTGAGTGGCATTGTCATTTTCTGTCTCTCTTTCTCTACTCTTGTCTTGTTACAAGATCTTTTGGTTAGGAAGGGCTTTAAGTTGAATAGCAAAGAGAGTATGAAATTTACTGAAACACATCTTTTGGACAATGTAAGGAGCTGCCACTCCACTTTGAAGATTTTAGTCGTGGTCGGGGTCGTGTGACCCTACTGATTCTGACATGTTTGGCGAATGCTAGGAAATATTCAGATTTGAAAGTCTTTACTCTTTAGATTCAAGTAACCTGTTGACCAAAAAAAAATTCAATTCAAGTAACCCATTATAAAATACTCTACTAGTTAAACTGAGGTGATGTATGAATTTGTGTGTTTCTGTTTACCATTGAATATCAAGGAGGCCGTGTCAACACAATATGTGCTGATTAAATGGCAAAACTCACCAGCATTTAGTTTATTCATAGATAGTTTGGTGTAACACCACCACCAATATGTAAAGTCAAATAAATAACAAACCTTACTCTTTTAGTTAGAAAAAGGAACTTGCTACTGTATTATAGATTTCAAATGAGTCTAATAAAGGTGGATATCGAATATATAGATTTCAAATGGGTCTAATAACGGTGGATGTCGAATCTTAGACCACATGAAACTTATAGAACAAATCGCTAGCTAGTATCCCCATATGACCATCTCAACACTGCCAGGAAAAGAAAATCTACATCCCCCGCTTCCAATATTTCAATTTTTTTGGATTTCCTTACTAGTTTTCTATCTATTTATCTCAGTTATTTATATTTGGATACAGTTCGTTTCATGGATAAACCAAACTGAGATGACAGGCTTATTCAAGTTGATCCAATGTGCGCAAGGTGTTGTGATCAAGAGGAAACTACGCAACATATTTTCTTTACATGCCCCTATGCTAAATCGGTATGGTCTTTGGCTGGTTTCCCTCGTAGCTGGTGTGATACCTCTGGTTCACTAGAAGATAAACTGAAACTCATGTTCTCTGTCACAACAAATGCAACAATCCCAGAAGAAATACGATTGTTGCCTTTCTGGATTGTTTGGAGACTTTGGAAAAGTCGAAATGAATTACTATTTGGAAGAACGGAAATCCCGGTGAGCACAACTTTCGATCGAGCAAGATTAGATGTACATGAATGGCTACAATCCATCAACTCCACTCCTACTCCTATGGACCCTATCCATCAACCGAATCTACTAGTTTCGAAATGGAATCCACCACCAATAGGATGGGTTAAATGTAACTATGATGTTTCTCACCATACTGGAAATCGTACTTCAGGATTAGGATGGGTAATCAGGAATAATCAGGGAGTTGTTTTAGAAGCAGGGATGGGACAATTTGAAGGACGTCCAACAATAGAAGAGGCGGAATTTTCAGCCTTACTTTGGGCATTACAGGCTTCCTGGTCTTTGGGGTACAGCAAGGTGATATTTGAAGGCGATAATATGATTATAAATAACTGCATCAATCAAAATATGATGCAACCAAGATTCCAGTTCTACCTCACAACAATTCAAAAATGGATATCAAATTTCATTCGGTGTCATTTTGTTCATACCAAAAGAGCAAATAACAAGGTTGCAGATTTGTTAGCTAGGCGATCATTGATGTTAGTAGATCAATCGAAACTCTTTCATAATTGTCCTCGTTTTTTAGAGGATCTTGTAAAAACAGATTTTAAGTAATATAATTCCTTTGTCGAAAAAAAAAAAAAAAAACCAAACTGAGATGATAAAAGTTAGATAAGATTAAGCATAACGAAATCGTAATTGAGTTTAATAAACTTATTTTGTCCAAATATCTCAAAAACCAAATTACTAATTAATTCCAAGCCCTTACATGTGGTATTGTGGTCCTGTAATCTATAAAAAATAAAAAATAAAAAATCCAACGATTAAAAGAAAACGAATCAGCTTGTTTATGAAAAGTTGATATAATATATAAAAGATGATATAATACATACATGCACCCCATAAACTATCACCAAGTTTGATAGTTATCGGTGTTGCTTGTTTCTTCTCTTGAGTCTTGACCACCATGCGCCATGCGTGCATCAACTGATCAACAGAGCAGTTTAGAAAAGGAACAAGAATCCAGCAAGTCATCGATCATGGAGAGCTGGAGATTTTTTTTATCACGAGCCGAAGATGAAGCCTAAAAACTTTGGTAATCTGAGCTTAGTCAATGTCTATGAACACATGGCTTTTTCAGGGCCTTGTTTAGACTGAACGTAGAGTCCTTTGGCATAAAAGGTTTAAATGAAGAGACAATTGGTGTAATGTACCTAACGAAGATTCAAATTGGCCGAATGTCCATGGTTGTGGATAATCCAAAAAGGAGTAACCTTTTGACATTGTGCGGACGAAAATGCCCTCTTACTTTATCGAAAACATGTAACTTTAGATTTAGTGGATACACATTATGTTAACTGAACACTAAGAGATATTTATCAATTTTAACATGATATAAAAATTGTTAGCAAATGGACAAAATTTTAAAATGCTACAAATTTTGTTATCGGGTTACTTCTACTTATTAACGTGTTAAATAAATCGCTAACAAACAGGTTAGCATGTTAACAATACTATTATCATAAAAATACATATATTAACTGCTAATAAATTATCTATCAAATAGCTGTAATCCTATTTGTAACAGCTAACACTCTATGTATCAGTTACAAATTTATTAAAATATAATAATAACGGGTAAATAATGAAATAGCTGCTAACTTACATATTATCCAAATAAAAGAATGTATATTTCAAACTTTGAAATTAGAAATTAGAAATAATATAATTAGTGTGAGATAATAACATTAGCAATATGGGTGTCAAAAGAATCAGAGTAAAAAATAGAGATTTATGATGAAAAAATGAAAGCATAAACATGTCATGTGTGAGAGATAAAGAGATTAGAAGATAGGGAAGAGAAGAGAGAGAAAATGAGATAGGGGTATAATGGTCAGCCGAAATAGATAGGGAAGAGAAGAGAGAGAAAATGAGATAGGGGTATAATGGTCAGCCGAAATAGTTTCTATTTTGGAAGGTTAGATGACAAATATGAGGTGTATTTACAGACAATCCCACCAATTTCTGTTAACTGAATCTCTAACTCAACAAAACTATTTCTAAATATAGAATGGCCAAGTGGTGGATTTCTTTAGTGAAAATAACAGAAAAATTATTATTTTAATTTCTGTGCAATTTGTCTAAACGACTTTTGTTTTGAAACGGAGAAGTACACAACAGAATGGTGACCATTCTTTGAAAAAGGAAATTGAACTTGTCTATTTTCGATCAATTCATAGATCAGCCTTCAACTACATGAATTCACAAATATATAAGGATTCAAAGAACCCCATTTAATAATAGGGGATTTTCTGGAGACAGAGACAGACTGTTGAAAACGGCATTTCTTTCTATAATTGTTAAGAATACATAGCAGGAGAGGGAGACTCATCTAAAAAACTAAACCCTAAACGGAGATATCTGCTAAGCATATGTGATTTCTCTTGTGCCTTTTACTAGTTGTTTGATAATAGGTCGAGGTAATATTATTACACTGTTATTAATAAATCATGTATTTTATTTGTAAATTCCAGCTGCAGATCGTGAATTTAATTTTTAAGATTAAATATTCTATTGGAACCTTTTTTTTGGTAGAACTTTAAAATTGATGTTAAGTTTCATCAAATACTGCCTTTAACAAAAGTCTACCCGAATTTTCCCTACTAAGAGGAAAATAATATATTATTTTTTTGTGCCAAAGAATAATATTTACGAGAATAGATAATAAGTTTACCTCGATGTTGAAAACTTTAAACAAAAAATATTGAATTAAGAAACAAGAAATAATTCTGAGGTTAACACGCGTCAGGGGGCCATCCGACGACGAATATCAAGTTTAGTTATATAAAACAAATTAAGAAATAAACTATGTTAAAAACTTATAAGAAATGTGATTAATTAAAATAAAAAGTGGGAAATGCAACGTGTTAGAAGAGTATTGGCTTAGGCATTATTTTAACACGTAGGGAGAATCTTACAGTTGTTCCACTGTTGCTATCCATTTTATATTTATTCACTAATTAGAGGTCCACCTTCTGCTATTTTCAGTTACCAAATAATTTTGTTTGAAGGGGGTGGAGACGACTTCATCTTTCTTTTATAAACGAAATAGCCGGTCTAAGAAAAATTATAATAAGATTTTTTTTAGAAAAATACTCTCTCTCTGTTCATAATGTTACATGTTTTACAAAAAAAAATTATTTCAAAACATATACTTTTTTTTTATATTTTAAATACATATGTTGTCAACTAATAATGATTAATTGCAAATTTCAAAAACAATTATTAAATTTTATTGGTTTAAATTTATGAGAAAAAATAATCACAAAACATTATATATTTATTATATGTTTTATTACTATGTCTATAAAAGCTAAAATATGTATTATATTGAAACAGATAGAATAATAAAAATTATAGAATCAGAAAATAATATAATAATAATAACAACAATAATAAGAATAATAATAATAATAATATTAAGAGATAGTAAGATAATCAATATATTTCTATAATAAGAACTATATTATTAACTCCTAGTAAAATCCAAAATTTGACAAGAGTTATTTTTTTTTCAGTGCATGTCACTGTGGCTTGCGAAGATTGAGTTGTTATACGAGCAGAGTTTTTTTTTCATTATCCAACGTTTGACGCTTGCATCTTATTTTTATCGTTCATTTTTATAGAAACCTCAAAACATAAAGCAATCTCTAATATGTATTCATTTAATACTAATCATACAAAATTTCAGCTGATTACATCTACTTTTTTTCTTTTGACACAATCACCGTATTCTGGAGTTATGATAAATGTATAAAACTGAAATATTTTAGAATTGAGAAGAAAAGGAAAATTATTCATAAAATTCGTGATTAAATTTTCTTGAATACTGGGACAAATTTCCCATTTTTTAGTGTCAAATCTGGTATAGCTTTGAGTGTTTTCATTTTCTCCTGTCTTTTCCCTCTCAGGAGACCATTTGCAAACATATATAGATATATAAAGAGAACGCCTTCATTTTTTTTTTTTGAAACACCTTCATTAGATTGATGCGTTCATGGAAAAGCAGCAATCACAAATATTGATTATATAAAAAGATAGTGCGGGAAGGGGAAGTGAATATATGTTGAAAGATGGTACAAACAATCAGTACCTTAGTTTTTTTTAAATATACCAAAAGGATTTGAATTAATCTAGAGTATGGAATGTAATTCGATACTGCTATATTTCTTTGTGGTCTGACCTATAGTTTTAATTATTAATATTTGGATTTTTGGGTGCGGAATTGGTCTGCCTCTTAACAAACTTTCGATGTGGAATTTGAATCTCTCAATGAATTTGTTAGAATTAGAAAATCTAACTGGAACATCGATCTACCAATTATAAATAATATATAAAATAAAATAAAATTGAAAAGAAGATTGCGAAATTGCATTGGACCAACTAAAACTTTTTGGAGATGGAGAGCTAATTTATCCATTCTATCCAGAATAATTCGATATAGCTTTTTAGACAATCAAATTCATGCTCCTCACAAAATAAGTACGTGAAATTTAAGCGAGAATCGGCGTTGTAATTATACTATTAAGCAAAGATGCCTATGTAAAATATATTCTCCCATATCTTGGGTAGAACAAAATGAAATTCATAGTAATTGTATATATATTCAGTGGTCCTAAGGGTATCCCAAACCCAATGAACCTTTAGTTTTGACAAACGCAAATTTATTCTGATTCGGCTTAGAGTTATTAAATAATTTAATATAGTTTTATATACATATCTATATTTGTACCTATCAATGTAGTTACCTATCAATATAGTTTTCTTAAATACTATTTTTAAGTTTCACACCTACACTCTCGGAAGATTTTCAATTACAATAAAAATAAATAAGAAAGTTTATTTCCATTCGGCTAAATATTAAATTTTCTATATATTTTAAACTTTGTATCAGTGGAAAAATCACTTTCATTAAGTTTTTGAAGGTACATCTAGTTTTATAATTTGTGCGTACTTGTCATATCATGAAGAACAACGTCTACCCAAACGATGATGGTTTGACTTGGTGTCTTTTGGTCGTTCTTATGTTATATTTATTTGGCTGAAACTTGTTTCAAATGAGATATGAGTGTTTGGATCGCTCTAAATCACATACATGCTTATAAATCATCTGCCCGTTTTTTCTATCAGTATTAGTGTTGTTTAAATTTGATTACTTTTTGTCTATAAGGTATATGAGCTTTTGAAATATAACAATATAAACAGGATTAAAGACACCGTAGATATATAAGATTTGTTTTGATAAAAATGTTAAAAATTAAGATATTTTTTTGGATTTCCAATTTAAAATTAACTGGAATGATCCAATCATTTATATATTTTTTTTAACTTCCTTTCATATTTTCTAATGTACGATTTTTTTTTCAACGTCCTTTCTCAAGATAATAGTGGATATATCCATTAATCTCGATAATTCATCATATTCTGAAATAATACTTTTATTTTAGGTGGAATTAAGCTTTTTGGGTCATCATTAGTGAGATCAAACAATTGTCTAGATTGTATTAATGAGTCAGAGTGTAAACCTACTCTAATACCATGATACATTTTTAGATTTTTAATTTAAAATTAATTGGTGATAATTAGTGGTACAAATATCTTAAATATTACTCTATGTTCAGAATCGTGATAGACGTAATGCATAGACGTAATGCATGCGGTTGATCCGGGTCTAGTGAGTTGAGAAAAAATAATTGTCGGTTAATAAAGGATTAAACAAGAATTAATTTCATATGTTTTAGTATATATACTAGTTTCTGTTAGAAACATGAAAAATCTAGTGTAGCCCTCTGCAACTCTAAAATGCCCTTGATTTCTTCCTCACCATTGTCGATTTGCAATCCCTAATTTCTGACCCTTTTTTATTTTCACGTTTCTTCACCATATTAACCTCCTTTCTTGTTATTTTTTTTATCAATTATGATAGGTTTTGGAAAAATTCTAGAAATTTTCTCTGTTTCAAAAAGATTAATTTTTTTTTATATTTTCAATGCATGTAATAATGACAAATACTCCCTGTTTCAATATAAGTGTTACTCTACAGCTATGCACACGGATTAAGGAAACAATTAATTTTACATATTTCCTATATAAAAACACAATTACCCACACACCTAACCATATTTTAACCAATAGAAAAATAAATTACATAATAAAATTAATAAATTTTGCATTGAAAACCGAAAACGACACTTATTTTGTAACACAAAAAATTCTCTACAACGACACTTAATATAAAACGGAGGGAGTAGTAGATTTCAAAAAAATTAATTATTTTTATTGAATTTTAATTGGTTATCATTTATGGGAAATAGTTAAATACAAAAAAATAATGTACTTGTAATCAAAATTTAAGAAGTTTTTTAATATCTGTGATAATTCTAAAACATTTATCTTATTGAAACGGAGGAAGTATGATTTAAACTTATAAATCTCAAAAAGATTGACTTTCCTGACAACTCCTAGTTTTTGAGCGAATAGGTTCAAATCGCCATGGTTCATAGCTGACTAACGTTTCAACATCGATTAAACGTCCAACTCGTCCGCGTCTTTAACTAAGGATATTACTCAATTCCCCTTTATATTTTCTAATATGGGATCTTCTCTCCAACAAAGTTGATAAAAGATATCACATATGTATTTGCATAATATTTCTAAAATAAATTAATAACTATATTCACATATGGATTCATCATCTAGTTCAAATTAAATCCGTACGTACGGAACATGCTTTTCTATAAGTTTGATCTAAGCATGGAGAATGGGATGGACCTAGTGCATATAAGTATGCAGGGTTTTGACAGAATAAGTTGGGGTTCAAAAATGAACTAATAATATAATTGATTTCCCTATGATCTTACAATTTTTGTTTGCAAACTCATTCATGTTTCTACAAAAAAGTACATATAAATACGTACAGACATGAATTAATTGTCAAAGAATTTATACATCTACGGATCTACGTATGTAACATCAAGCGAGCATTTCTATGCATGGGTTAACAGGATCTGATAGGGGTTTATAATGAATTAATAACACAAAATCGATTTCCGTGCGATCTTACTATTTTGTGAACAATCTTTTTTTAATGTTTCTACAATTGAAGAAGAATAAAGACAAGGTCTACGCAAGTGGGAATTTAATTACAATTATTTTTATAATATGTGTTATTTAAAAAAGAATTTTGGACTTTTGCAATTAGGGCCATTGGATAATTAAAAAATGCGCACTCCTATCCATTTTTAGAATAATTAAAAGAAAAGGCGTTGCCTATATCAATACTCATCCATCTTGCACCTGAGGACTTTGGATGAATATAAAGAGATTCCACACAAAACCCAAAAAAAAAACAAAACACTTTGGATTTCATTTCCATCGTTGCTCCTCCGATTTTTTTTGTCTAATCAAATCATTTTCCCTATCGTTCAATATAACATTGAACGTAAACAAGATCCTAGGTTTCTGATACCAAAGTGGCTATCCAGGTCTCTCTTGTTTGGTCTCTGATGGATAACATCAATTTTGAAACCTCAAACGCTTCACAAGGAAGCCGACTACACTTACAGCCGCAACCGCTCCAGCCGTTTAATTTACAAGACGTGAATATGAACCATTACAATCAATCATCTCCATGGACTAGTGAGGCGTTCTCGGGTTATACTCCGTATGATTGCACATCCAATCAATCTTTCTCCGTACAATGCTCATCTTCAAAACCCTATCACGCCTTGTTTCATACGTACCCTCCTCAATCTTCTGATCCTCCATCATTAGACCAATCACAATCGATGGTTCCTATGCAACCTCTTACCGATCAGTATTTAAAGCCATTATATCAAAGATCGTGCGCGAATGATTTCGCCGCAACAAATGCTTCATCAGCCTCATACTCTCTTTCTTTTGAAGCAAGTCAAGATCCACAAGTATGTCCAAAAGCTTCCTTTAACTTTTGTTTTTTTAAAAAACTTTTTATTCTCTTATTTATAATCCTTTTTTTTTTACAATTTTATAACATGGTGTTTCTACATGATGGTCTTCAGGAACTATGCAGGAGGACCTATAGTACTTCTAATGTAACACAGCTTGATTTCACATCATCACATCACCAAGCTAAACATACACATCCAAGATTGTCTTCTCCTTCTTTCTCAACCCATGGAGGGTCAATGGCTCCTAATTGTGGGACGGTTGGGAACAAAACACGGATAAGGTGGACTCAAGATCTTCATGAGAAGTTCGTGGAATGCGTAAATCGCCTTGGTGGTGCTGATAGTAAGTTAACGAGACTTCCACTTTAGAATTAGAGGAATTAAACAATTAGTTATCAAACACTTGATCTAGTCACTTTGCTTTAACATAAAGTTAGGTTAAGATATGCATCTGAATCATGGATGGTCATGTATTAACCATAGCATTTTTATGTTATAATGATGTTTTCTGAAATCAAAAGAATCTTATGCACTATCATATAACACCAAGTGTGGGTTGAAAACTTTCTTTTGAAGCAATTATGCCCATTATATGGAAAATGAATTTATTTGCTTTAAATATAAAAGTGCCCTTGATTTTTTGGTGGGTCACTAACTGGTGGAAAACTATGCAGAGGCAACGCCCAAAGCGATACTGAAGTTGATGGATTCTGAAGGACTCACAATATTTCATGTTAAAAGCCACTTGCAGGTTAACTTTACTTCTTCTCTTTTTACATTTTTTTTTTGTTTTTAAGAACTTTTTACTCAAGGGTTCTTGGTTAAAATTTCAGAAGTATAGGATTGCGAAATACATCCCTGACTATCAAGAAGGTACACTAACTTAATACCACCACCGTATATTTTAGTTTGTGATAAAAATACATTGATAATTTGGGAATAATGTAAGCCAAGAGAGTTTTGTTGTTGCAGGCAAGTATGAGAAGGGATCTTGTTCGAAAGAGCTGTCCCAGCTTGACACAAAAACGTATGTTTTATTTCCTTTTTTATGTGTGCCAAAAATAATATTTAATTTATTATTAAATATCCTTCTGTTTTTCCTGCATATAAGTCCAAATCTAGTGACACAATGGCTTACCGTAGCAATGACAACATCAACGATTTAACTATATTCAAAATAATAAAATAATGTTATTGATTTTAATATATGTTTGTTTTGTTTTATATCGTGGAGGCAGTGGAGTGCAAATCAAAGAAGCACTTCAGCTTCAACTAGACGTTCAGAGGCATCTTCATGAACAACTAGAGGTAAGTTACAAAATGTAAATATACCTTAGTATATATATTAGACTATAGTTAAGTATTTTTTTACCAAGTAAATACAATCCTTTGTTACTGTTTAAGTAGTAGTGTTTGGCACTGAGTTATATTCCAATTCCCCACTAAAGTTTTCATGGAACTAATATATGTTCCTCATTATATTTTGATTAAAAATAAATAACTAATATTGTTCTATAAAATATTTAAGCTAGACATCAAAACTTGTTTTAAGAAATAAATGAAGGCTAGCTAGCTTTCTAGTTTTGAGGTTGTTGTATATATGTATCAACATTTTGTGGCTCTTTCTCATATTAATCTACATATTCATTTTTCTTACCACTCATATCTTGATTCGCGTGTCTTTGTCCATTAGATTCAACGAAACTTGCAACTGAGAATCGAAGAACAAGGAAAACAACTGAAAATAATGATAGAACAACAACAAAAAACAAAAGAATGTCTTCTCAAGTCACCAAACGCCGAAGCATCATTGTCTCTCTCCGCTTCCGATCACTCTCCTCCGCCTTTCTCAATACAAGAAGCCGAAGCCCTGATGCTAACAAGTTACGAAGACACTCAATTCCAATCAAAGATAAGCTGAACATTGAGAGATTGGCTAAATAGAAAAAAGGCCTAATTAAATTAAAGCATGTTGTTACTCTATTCAAAGTGGTGTAAAGTTATAAGAGTTGCGACAAGAGAATGTCCAAAGTGCTACACACACTAACACTTGGAAACGGAATCAGGTACTTAAATGTGTGCAAGTGGTGTGTGATGGGGTCTTAGTCATATATAGACTGCTAATAGATGTGTGAGATTATTCTTAATTAACTATTTGTATTTTTTTTTTAATATTTACATAAAGAGATAGCTTCTTAATTTAGTAACGCTACTTTTAACATTGTGCATGAGGAACCCCACGTTTTATTCTTTTCCTTTTTATTCTACTTTGATGAAGAGGGGTTAGATTTCATAGGCTCATTGATAATTGGTAATTATGATTATTTTTTAGATTTATTTTATGTTATTTACAGCATTAATAAAACTATTAAGTTACTATGATGATTATACTTTTTAAGTTTCTTCGAACCCCGGCCACCACATAATTTACCTGCGGAGTTGGTGTGGCGCTCCAGACCACTTAGCGTAACCAGGGGCCCTTAAGTGGACGCTTAAAAATCCTGTCATGGCATGGGCTTAGGCCCGGTGGGCTAGTCGATCACGCTTAGTGGTCGGATACTGGATTATCAAAAAAAAAAAAAATTGCATGTATCAAACCATTATCTATGTTACGTTTCAATAAAAAGGCAAATTACAATATATCTTATGATTAATTTAATATCTGAAACTAAGTAAATAATATAGATTTAAAATTATGTTAAAAATTTTGAATTAGTTGGATATATATATGTCCGCACAAATGTGCGGGCCATTATCTAGTAAGTTATTATTTATGTGCTTAAAACAAGTATTAATTAAATTATTTATATATGAAAAAACTATTTATTAAATATATATGTTCATTATTGCATTAAATGTTTTTAAAAATTCTTATATATTAGAAATATTTTGAATTCCTTTGAAAACTATGTTCATTATTTAGAATTTTTGTTTACCAACCAAAACATTTATTAATTGCAATCTTGTTAAACAGTATGATACAAAATTCCAGAACAGGAATGGTAGAACAAATAGATTTCTTAGCAAGCAGGTGAGCACCATTACCAGAACGCTTAACATGTATAGATTTTTTTTTTTTTTGAAATGACTCAGTGTTCACTTTTCAACTCCAAAAATAGTTTTTTATTTAATTAATATTTAGTTATATGTTTTTTGTTCCAATTTTTTTGTGGTTAAAAAAATTCTTTTCAAATAACAACAAAAAGAATATTTATTTTTTAAACATATAAAAGATATTTTCGGACAATAAAACAGCATATATAACAATTGTTTTAAATACTTTTTATTTTTTGGATAATTTTTATTATATATATTTTAATGAATAATCTTATGTGCTAAATTTTAAATTTGTTTTTATATTAATTTAGAAATAATAATAAATAAATTAATGTATTCATTAAAGGTAACAGTGATATTAACAACTCTCTCAAAAATCTCTGTTAAAAAGAGTCTATTTTGATAAAAAATGATAAAGAACAATACATTGCAAGGCTATAGGGGCTCCATAAAAAGAAGAGTTATTAAGTCAACTTTTGAAATACTGAAAGTTTCATTAAGAATCTCATTTTTTGGAGTGGCCGCTCCATTATAAATCTGAGTGTTCTATTCTTAAATCTCCAATTTGTATTAAATTCCGTCTTTTTTACTTTAACTGATCTATCTTCCATCTAATGCAATTCCGAACACAAACATTTTAAATTTTAAATTTCTTTTTAAGAGCATTTCATTAAGAAATTTTAATGAATTTCTCCTTACTATTTAACAAAAATTAATAAAGGTAAAAAGAGAAGATAAAATAGGTATATCAAATAGGTTTTAAAAAATAATTTTGAACTATATTGAAAAAAAATATTATATTAGTGAAATAATCACACTTATTTTTATCAATAATGTGAAAAATCTCCTTAATTTAACAACTAAATCATGATGTCATAATTATAATAATTAAGAAAATGATTAATTATATGGATATAGCTTTGTATATGGTCACTCAGAGTAGTAAATAAACAGAGGAAGAAAATGGCGTCTGAAATGTTTCAAAGAAAAAAATGGCGTCTCAGTTCTTCGTACCATGAGCAAACGTCACCAGTGGCGGCGGGGATGCCGTTTATGTAGCGACCGTGCCGCTCAGAGCAACGGCTGGTTCACCACAGCTTATCATGTCAATGGCTTTACTCACTTAATATATGGGATTTACAACATTTCTTGGTTCTCATCAAACCATCTTCTCCCATTCATCAAGAGGTTTCTTCATTTTTCTTAATAGCTCATGGGAGACTGATCTTAGAGTTGGCTTTCATGATTGCCGACATTATACCAATGGTATTAATACAAGCTTTTTTTACTTTGCTTTTCGTAACATAACAGATTACAAGTCTTGGGTTTGTTTTCATGTTTTCATTTACAGAACTTGTTCAACATCTTACCAGAGAAATACAAACATAAATGGCCAGCAATTATAAGTATATTTTAAGTTTTAACTTGTACTAGATTCTACTCATTTTGCTTCAGAATTGCTGGTTTTGTATTTTCATTACCTCTGGTATACTTAGAAACTGAAGAAAGTCGGAATATTAAAATAAAAACATGATTTATTGAAATAGTTAGAAAGAGGGTACAAAACCCAAGAGGCTATAAGCATAATAATAGATAAAAGCAGAAAATTACAATACCCATTGCATTCATCCAACTTCAATAATCAGAGCTATATCCTCATCCTCATCCTCTCTTCTTGTTACCATGAAACATACGCTCATCATCAGAATCTTCTTCTGATTCTTCTTCTTCTTCTGATTCTTCGTTATACACATATGGAGCATAGATGCTAGATTTGAGCAGCGTTTGATCATTAACATTAAGATCCTCTACATTGTCAGCAAAGGCCAAGTATCTACTACAATCGTCTACAAAGACGTGGACTCTACGAGGATTGATGGACGCTTCATGATACTCTCCAAAACCTTGGATCTCAAAGCGTCGAATAGTATTATTCCCTTCAGGATTGAAGTAGTAAACATAAAACGGTTGTCCGGACGTATAATCCGCCATCGACAAAACAATTCCACCAGTAGAAAGCACACCAACGACTGAAACTTAACTCGGGAAGAGGAGCTTATCATCTCCCCTTAAAGTGTAGGAGGCATACTTGGACCATTCCTGTTTATCCACATCCTCCAGAACCCATACACGTAACTCAACAGCATAGTCACTGAGATCATCGTAGTAAACCACACCCAACTTACCGTTATAGTTTATCAATTCACAAAAACAAAAGCTTTCGGGATAAAGAAACTTGAACGTCTCAGACCGAACATCAAAGCAAGCTATCACGTAATTAGACTCGTCATAAGACAACTCCTCGCACTCACTCCCTTCACACAAGAAGTATAAAACCCCATTTATGCATAATCCTTCACTCACATTCAAAAGTTTTAATGGACAATAAATCTTTCTCCACCTCATTCCTCTAGTTCCCAGTGTCATGATTCTGTGATCGTCAGAGCAGCACAGATAAGTCAAATGCAATACCTTGTATTGCTTTCCAACCGGATCGAACCCGAAAAAGCTGTACGCTTTCCTGTACCTTAAGAGCCAAGGCAAGGCCTCGTATCGTCCTGTTTTAGGGTTACATACCACAGACACATCATTAATTCATTCCTTTCCTACCTATTGGTACACAAACCGTAGAAATAGATCAAACCGGAGGCGTAGCCACATGCGAATTGTCGGTCATCACGATGAAAGATCCGCATGTTGTCAGGAGGGAACTTCATATGAAACTCGGCGAGGTGAGACGATGAAGGCTCCTTCAGATGATCATGCTGAGATAAAGAGAAGATGCTCCACACACCCTCTTCCTCGATGGCGAATATGAGACGAGGACTTGGTTAGGAACAAGTTTTTGAACTGTGGATGGTCGATTATTGATGTCCATTGCTTGCATACGGAACGAAACCTAGCCATGGACTTTGCTGGTAACGTCACCAATATCTCGGTGATGAGATCATTAGGGATCATTGCTTTAGTTTCTGTGTGAGAGAGAGAGAGGTCTGAGAATATGGAAAGCGACGGGGAAGTATTAAAGATAAAAATTAAGGCGGTGTTAACCTAAAAGTCCCGAGAAGCGCAGCTAAATTGTTTGCATGTAATAGAGAACGAGACCGACATCGGAGAGAATGGTGATTTTAAATGAGAATTAGGAAAAAAAACACTAAATTTGTACGAATTACCAAAAAAAATCTGTATTCGACCCTGGCAAAAAAAACACTATACTTTTGACACACCGTTAATCCGCAGTTTAGACAGTGTTAAATTGTGATTCAAAAATAAAAAAAAGCATAAATCCCTAGATTTGAACCCAAGTTGACTAGATGAAATAACATGGTATTTTACCACTGGACTAGTGTTACTTTCATTGTATTCACTAATATATTTTGTTTTATTGAGTACTGATTGAATATAAAAAATCTTTTAAAAACTTAAAAATACCTTTAAAATTTAAAAATTTAAAAATAAAGTTTTTTTTATAAAATTAATTTTGAAATTAAAATTTAAAAAATTCATTTTTTTCTTTTTTAAAAAATAAATTTTTTTCCAAAAAACTTCAAGAAAGTTTAATTTTAAATTAAATTATAAATATTTTTTTTTATCTTTTTACTAAAAAGGAAAAAAAATCGAAAAAACTTAAAAAAAATCCAAAAAATTTAAAACTCAAAGAAAATGCAAGCAAATTAAAGTTACAATTATCAGCTTAAAATTAAAATCGCACTCATAATGGGTACAATAATTATTTTAAGCATTTTCATTTTAAATGAAAATTTTGGAAGATTTTTGATTTTTTAAAAGAAAAATGAAATTTTATTTGAAATTTTAATTTCAAAATTAATTTTATAAAAAAATTCTTTATTTTTTCAATTTTTTTTGTAATTTAAAGGTATTTTTAAGTTTTTTAGAGATTTTTTTAATTTAATAAGTACTCAATAAAAGAAAATATGTTAGTAAATACATTGAAAGTAACTCAATCTTAGTGGTAAATTACCATGTCATTTGATCCAGTTAACCCTGGTTCAAATATAGGTAGGTGTCTACGCCTTTTTATTTTCATTTTAACTCCGATGAGAGAATGTTAAAAGAAACATGTTCGTCAATGTAATGAAAAGTTCACTAGCCTAGTGGCAAAGCCCCTACCATTATCCCTAAGTACACAAGTTCGAATCCCCGAAAGCACGTTTTCACACCTTATTTTTAAAAACAAAAATACGTAAAACGATGTCGTTTCATCATAACGCCCAAATTTAACGTCGACTTAATGTCGTAAAAAAATCCATTAACTCTGCTAACGGTGTGTCAAAATGGTCAGTCAATCATATGTTTCTAAATAAACATAAAAAGTCAACAAAAGTATAATATTTTTTTGGCCAACCCATATGTACAGGTTTCTTTTGGCAATTCTTGCAAAGTTCGTGATTTTTTGGCCGAATTCCCAATTTTAAATGGTTATCTTTTTCCTTTTTCTATGTTTTCATTTTGAACAAGTCCATATGTCTCTCTCTCTCTTGAATTTACCAACATCCATTGCTTGTTTTACAGGAAATCCTGCTCTAGCCAATGAAGCTACAGCAATCACCATCAGTGTTTTGACACAAAACGTTGATTTCTTTAAGCAATGGGATGTTCTCTACAAGGAGAATCTTGAAGCTAGCGTTGCTCTTCTTAAAAAGCTTGTAAACGAGTGGAAAGTTTATTCCCGCATACTTGCATCATCCTGGAGTGATATCACTGTCAAGCATGCTATGAACAGCTTCAGGATGAAGGTAACAATTAATGCATCTCTCTTAGAATCTTCTACTAACTAATTATCATCTCTGACCTCACCTGCTATTTTATTTATTTATTTTGTCTGCAGAACGGAAAAGCCATCACTAAAAGAGTAGCCAATCTTTCTCTTTACAAAGAAGCTGACCAGTCGTGCAAACTCATCTCCACGAGACTCTCACGTGCCCCCCCCCCCGGGAAATAACACCATTTACCTCTATGGTTATAGCAGTTGCGGGAGGCCTTGTTGCGAGCCGCACTTACTCTATCTATTTAATATTACTAGGGATTTTCCTGGGTTATGGCCAGAGTATTTGTATAATTTTTGGTTAACTTTGGAAAATTAAATTTATGAACATAAAGCATATTTTCTATATATATATTTTATCACAAAAGAATACAAAGATGAATCTTAGTATAAATCTGCGAAGGATGAGTTGCGAGTGTCGATCCAGTGTGGTCAATGACTTTTAATTTTAGTATATTAAGTGAACTGAGGCTCGATTTTCAATTTTATACTTTTGATTATTTTATTTTTTGTTTGATTTAAAAAAAGAATAATAATAAAAGTATCAATCGTGGACTGCCACGTGACGTGGGACCAAAAAAACAGTAATGAACTCGTCCCTTACCGGCGACTCCCAAAAACCCAGGTTCACAAAGTTTGCATTATTATATTTGTTTTTTCCTTTGGAAATTGTGTGAACCTTGGATATAAACCCCCAATGGGCATGGTCTTAGACCCTTTTTATATTGAAAGATCAAGATGTTGAGTAGGTGAGTTAGAACACCCCCATCAAAGGATGATGATGGGGGTTCACACATTTACCAAGAAAAAAAAATATAAAATAATGCAAAATTGATAAACCTAGGTCGCCGGGACTCACTGCCATGACCCTGGATCACAACTGTTTCGTGGGCTCCACGTCACATGACGGCCCATGATTGGTCAGTTTAATTAATTTTTTTTTTAATCAAACAAAAAATAAATAAAAATAATAAAAAATTCAACTTGTGAATATCAACTGGGGGTTCATTAATGCTGATGCTCTTAGACTGGATTAACAGAAGTATCCACGACGTGAGTCTGATAATTGGTCCATGAAACAAACCAATTCATAAACATGCACAAGAATTTGACTGCATATTCTAGCTGGAGAATTTTGGCAACCGATTACTATTCAAAGCCAGAGTCTTCTGCATCACTTGGTCAATCAACTTTGATCTCTTGGTTTTAAGTTTCAAAACAGTTAACTTTGGATATGTGGAATGTTTGACAGAAGTATAAATCTCTTGGTTTGTGTTTACTTCCCTCTCATCATCTCTACTGTGATTAGTTATAACTGGACGTGACTCTTACGTTGTGTCGTCAGGAATAGAGAAAAAGAAAGCGATGAATATAAAAAGAATATGCATGGAAACTGTGTTAAGAATTTATATTCCACACAGGCTCCATCATGACATTGACATGACACTTACCATATTGGAGACTGGAGAGGTCTCATTTTTTCATATCATATAAACGTAATTCTTATGGCATGTGCATTGAAGGTACAAGAAAAAGTTCAAGAGAAAACTCTCACACTTTCCAAAGAAAAAAATACTATAATAACTGCCTCTGATGAACTCGATATGCCAAATCTCTCCTGGATAAATTCGGTTCACTATTGTTTTGCGAGCCCCACGCCACATGGCAGTCTGCGAACCCTTCTCTCCAGGTTCACTAATGTGAGTGTTCTTACGTTCACTAATGTGGGTGTTCTTACGTTCACTGAGTGTGAACACTTCTCTCATTCTCGAATACTATAAGAAAAAAAAAAGAGACAAGTCTTGTTACTCTATTTAGCCACAAAATCCAATACGCATACAATTTGAAAAAAAAAACAAGGAATTGCTACCAACATTAAGAAAACAAGATTAAAATCCTTAGAAAAATGGTAACTGCAAATAAATATGCTCAAAACAACAAGACCTTCAAGGATAGAGTTTTCTTCAAACCGGTCCATGAAACAAACCAATTCATAAACATGCACAAAAAAAAGAAAAATACTGTATATGCTCCTCTGCATCAGCTCTTTTAACCGATAACAGCTTAGGTTTCTCCTCTTAAAAGATGATTTTATTACAAATAAGACAAAAGCTCAGCTCTGTTCCTATTCAAGCAAGAACAAACGACTCTAAGTCTTGTTTCATTCTTAGTAACAGTCTGCTTTTGTATGTATAACTCAAACACCAAGGTTTTTTTCTCTCGAATAACATTTTACAACTCTAAACAAACACATCATAGAAATTATAAGCCCATAAAGATACTTTAAAATACTAACACCTGATACAAAAGGTATTGTAACCTTTGAGCCAGAGGTAGGTTCTTGATAATATCAAACAAGTCTCAGAGGACAGCAAGGTTGAGAGAGGGTTTACTAAGAATCCACATCCTCAGGTTGATCCAAGAGAACAAGGGGATGGATGCTGCTGAGAACATGGAGCTTGAGTTTGAGTGTCCAATAGACACATACTCTGATCTTTTAGCGGAGATGGATCCAGGTGATTGTTTGAACTTTGAATGTGCGTTTGCAAAAGGATTTGTTTCAGATGATGACTGCAATCTAGCTACTGATTTGAATACCAATGGACTAGAAGAAGAGAAAATCTTAGAATGAGACACTACTCCTGGTGTAACATTTTTGGTCAGAAAAAGGATTATGTCCATGCCTAAGCTCCCTTGTTTGGTATCATGAAAAGGTTTTACTGAATGAGGTAGTCCAATCCATTCGATTGCAGAATCAAGTAGTCGCAACGTTTTCTGTGTGTGCTTTGAATGAATGTCGTGTTGTGTGTCCTGCTGGCCACTGGAGGTAAAATTTAAAATCTGGGCTCTCCCAACGTCCAGTGACCGAGGTGTACTCCGGCCGATAACGTACGCTGATATGAACACTCGCCGCTAGTCTGGATCATGAGTGCCAGGATACACCGAGTTATCCAAAAAAAAAAAAGAATGTCTTGTGTAGCTATCTTATTTTATTTTACATAAACAAATATTTGTAGTGTCAAAGTAAGACAGTCTTAAAGTTACAAGCATACCCAAGAAGAACACATACCTATCACGTCCTCAAGCAAATAAAATAAGAGAACAGAGTAGTAGACCCTCTCTGTTTTCATGTTTGTGTAAGGAAAATTGAGTACTAGATTTTATTAAATTTCGGATGAACGATCAACATACATGACTAACCTAACAATGAAACGGGAATAAAGAAAAGAAGAACCTACGGACAGCTGACTTTTATTTCATGAGATAATACATATCTATGTCGTTACCACTCACACATACATATCTTTCTTTTTAAAACACACACACATACATATCTATGTCCAAAAGGTTACAAAAACCCTTACAACTTATTTCAACAAAACCAGAGAAAAAGAACAAGTGTTTCAAAGACGAAACAACTTGTAGAACAACACCGGTTTATACGAATAAAGGACTTGTCCAATCGCCACTCCAAACAAGACTCCGGGGCCATAGCCGATTGCTGCTGCTTTCCAGTTCAACACTTGTTCTTTCTTCGGAGGTTCTGGCTCTTGTGCCTCTGATGTTGATGTTACCTTGTCCCCGAAGCAACTCTTCTCAAGAGGAAGACCACAAAGATTGATATTCTCTTCAAAAGATGATTTGGGCTGTCCTCCAATCTGCGTGGACTGTGGTATCGGTCCCGTGAGTTTGTTATGTGAAATGTTAATGTACTCTAAGAACGAGAGGGCTGCTAGCTCCTGAGGGATTTGTCCGGAGAGTTGGTTCTGAGATAGGTCTAGTGACCCGAGGCTCGTGAGATTAGCCCAAGAAGATGGAATAGGACCATTGAAATCATTGTTGGATAGGTTGAGCATAACAAGCGACTTCAAAAGGCCTATGGATTCTGGAATCTTACCTCCAAATTTATTTTCGGAGATATCAATAGATGTGTAGGTCAAAAGGATCTTTTCCAGCTCCATGTTTATTCCTTTGTTTCTCAGATACATGGAAGGCCGATACTTGTTACCATCTCCCATGTACATCCCTATTTCCTCTGGGGAAATACTGATCGTGATGAGATTACTCCAATTGACAAAGTAATCATGTGGTAGGCTTCCGGTGAATTTATTACGTGATAAGTCAACCATCTGAAGTTGTGAAAATGATATAGGGTGTTGAGGAGAATAGATAGGACCATGGAACATGTTTTATCGTAGTACCATGACTTTTAGATTCGGTAGATCCTTCAGCCAAAAAGGAAAGGTGTCATCCACTTTATTACTCTCCACGTTTAGAAACTGTAGGTTTCTGAAATTTGTAAGAGACCTTGGAAGCTTCCCAGTTATTTTATTGTGGCTAACGTCAAGTATTTTTAGTAAGAAAGTTTTGTCGAATATGTCGGGCAGTATCCCAGTGAGATTGTTGTTTCGGAGATCTAGATATTCTACTGATGAACTAAACAAGCATCGGGGAACTGAACCACTGAAATTGTTGTGCCCTAGATCAATGAGACCAAGGTAGCTTTGATTGCACAATGAAAGTTGTATGTCTCCTGTGAAACTATTATTTGATGCAAGCATGGCCCCCAATCTCGGTGAAATAATAGGAAGAGATCCTCGAAAAGCGTTTGACCTCAGATCTAAGTCGCAAAGCGGCGAATTGAGAAGCATTTTTGGCGAGCCTTCAAAGCTATCGAGGAAGTTGTCAGAAAGATACAACCACCCCAAAGAATGCATACTCCATAAATATTTCGGGACTTCTCCTTTGAGTCTATTGTTTGATAAAGACAAAATTTTCAGATTCTGTAGGCTTTTAATAAATATGGGGAACTCGTCGATGCTGCAGTTATCCAAGTATAGTTCCTCCAAATTTTGTGATCCGATATTAGGCCTTGATATAGCAGTTCCGGAAAGACGCAAACACTCTAAAGACTTGAAGCCCAAGGAGGAGACAAAGTTGTTTGGGTCGGTTGTGTTCTGAAAAGATAGGTCGAGTTCTTGGAGGTTGGTTAATTTTGAGAGAGGCTCTAGGATTCTACCACTGAGACGGTTAACTCTAAGGTCTAACATGTTGTTGGGGTCAAAATCGGTACGACGGAATCAAAAGCCAAAACTCCCCGCAAAAATACAAAAGGAATAATTTTATAAAACCCAAGAAGTCGTTTTATAAAACTATAAGACGTTTTATAAAACTCG